GTATAATTATGTATAATACCAAAATCATTATGTATAATTATACATAATTATTAGTATAATTATCTATAATTTGACTATTCCCAAGGGACTCATCAACGCTTTCCGCATATTCATTACCACCTAATATGTTACCATAAAAAGTATTAAGACAGTTGGGTTAAGCGTTTGGGATTTATGGGTGGGAGTCCATAATTAAAACGTTTTTCCATAATTATATCGCGGCTTGTTACTAATATATGGATTAGGATTATGTTTTTACCTAGTATTGCACAGCTATGATCAGCGGAAGTGTCTAACTTACAGTAACTATAATTGCAAACTTTAAGATATCGTCCCGATGCTGACGGAAGACCCAGTTCTACACCCTCCTGAGGTCAACAACGAAGTTCCGCAAGTAACCTTCACCTGTGAGGTCGTGTACGACGCCGCAGATCCCACCGCCAATTTCGAAGTGTCATTCCTGTTCGACAACGAGGATTTCGACGATGTGCTAATCAAAACCCTTACAGCGGGGAAAAGACGAGCAACCTTGGACGCTAAACACCTGGGATTGAACAATTTTGACCTGAAATGGCCCTCCAAAATGGGGAAGCATGTAAGCTCTAATCCTTTCTTCAAGCTGTAATGAACAAAGTCTTTATTGATTTTGTTGGTAATTAAGGGTACCTATATAGCAAGTGGTCAAGTATTCCCAAGTGCTGTCCAAGACACTCTGTGCTGTTTCTGACATTTTTGTCTTCGTTCTGTGGTTCAAGGTGTCTTGTCAGGTGAGGTCATTCTGGCAAAATTCCCCGACAGTGAAATCCGACTGGCGCCAAAGTAACACATACTGGGCAGGAATACAGGTACTGCTACTCTTTCCAATATTCAATATTGTGAAATGAATCTTGTAAAGAACTAAAAGCCACTTACTGAGATGCTATTTATACAGTCAGGTTCATTGTCCTGGGGCCTGGACATAGTACGCCCCTGTCACACATGTACAACTTTGACCTCCCGAATACTGTCCGAACACCTCCAACCATAGTTAGGAGTAAGTCGGAGTAAGGTCGGCTAGGTCGGCTAGTTTTTGGAGAGGTCGGCTACTATTTGGCTGCGCCAGCCGAATGTTTTAAAATGTTAAAACATTCGAATGTGGACGGGGGATTCGTCAATGGTTGGCTGGTGATTGGTGGGAGTAGGTACGGGAGTGGTAAATTTGACTTCAATTTAGCTCAAATTTGATTCAATTGTTATAGAAAGGTGGGCGTGGCCTAAATCTTGTCAGAATGCTCCCAAACATCAGCCAACCTTGGTCGGCTGGTGTTTGCGTGGGAATGTTCTGAATGTGTGACATGGGCTTTAGAGACATTTCCTGCTAAAGATGCTTTGATTTTGACGCTAACAGGCCAACGAGCATGTTGCTGTCATAGATCTAGAGGAGGCCGAAGAAGGGTACCCTTTGCAGTTGTACAGCACCGTTCCGTTTGTGTGCACAAGGGCGGGGCGGCAGTGCTACATAGACCTTCCCATGGCTTTTGACGAAAACCAGGAGGACGTTAGTCTTAGTAAAGCCTGTCTCATAAGGTTTCAAGCCACGGCTTGGGACAGCGTGAGCCATCGAATACAGGCAGAAACTGTCCTGGTCGCTGTGAAAGACTTCCAGGCAGACGACGACAAACACATGATCATCAACTTTGGAGAAATAAGGCACGTACCTGTCAGTACAAGCCTCGGCTTTAGCCCCCATATCTTCAACGGATACACCCCACAATTCAATATACAGGTATGTATCAGTTTCGTTATAAGATTGCTAAATTAAGTTTGACGGAGCGTTTTTTTATATTCTAACATTTCATGACTGGACATGGTGACGGCACACTCAACATTAACTTATTTTACCAACGTAGAGGACAAATACGGAACAGGACAATACTCATTTTCACTTGAGTTAAGTGAGGAAAGTCGTGTAAAGTGCATTTCCCAAGGGCACTAGATCGGTGGCATGTCAAGACTCGAACCCGGGACCTCTGGGTTTCGTGTCGAGCACTAGTCTGCCGCTACGCCACACTACGATGCGCTTATCCATTATTACAGAGTATTTCCTAATTGTTTCTTGTAATATTACTATGATTGTAGCCGATGCTAATTTCGAATAACATGCAAATGGTTGCCAGTGCTTTATACAGTCTTTACCACAAAAGAACTTGCGGAAGAGTATTTAACTGGCATAGATTTTCACCACTGTGGCCTACCATGCCCTACCGCGCTGACATATCTAAGCCATGATTATACCGTTCATGTCTATTCTGACTCTTTATCAAGCCAATAGAGACTGTTCGGAAAAGTGGTACATCTTACATGATTACACAATCCACAGGTCCGCACAGTCGACACCATTACGGGAAGATGCATCTCATGGGGAGACCCTCACATCATAATGTTCGACCGGTCTGAGTAAGTGTCTTTGTGGATATCTCATTTTCAACGACATATTGGGGGCGTCTAAATTTTAGTGTATATTGCGCGCTTGGGTGGAGATCACCGCTATATCACCATGCTATATCACCGCTATATATCCGTTATACCACCGCTATATCACAGTTATATCATCACCGCTATACCACCGCTATAATAACGCTATAACTCTTCAAGATGAACGTTGTTTGTATTTTGAGTAGTCGTGCCTTTGAATTGTGTACATCGTTTTGTTCCTTTGTCAACCAGTGATGGGAATCTACAAGCACACGCTATTTCACAAGGGGAATTCAACTTGTACAGCAGCACCAAACCAAACAGACTTTTCCAGGTAAATATATTCTAGATCTTTTGCACATTATTACGCTAGTGCTGGAAATCTGTAAATATTGCTCTGTGCGCAAATGATGAGAGGTTGGAACATTTCGACAATATGGATAGTTTTTTATCGATTCCATGCATTGCATTTGAGGGAATAATGTTTTAGTTATCATCAAGCTAGCAGATCATTATATTTTCATTATGATTATTTGACGTATAAATGTTTTCAAACAAGATGTACTTATTAATACATGTAACAAGTGGCCATAGCTTAGGAACTACATTCCTTTGACATCACCACCATGTCAAATTCAACTCTCAACTATATCTTTCCAAGGTGCAAGCACGTCATAGACGGTGCTCTGGAAGCATCTCTTGCAACTGCGGCGTGGCCGTAAGGGAAGGTGACGACGCCGTCATCATAGACAGATGTGACGGTGTCCGCCGGTCTCCATCTTACAAGACTGCCAGTGGAGGTCCTTTGTCCCACGCAGTTACAATCAAAACAGACACAACTGGAAACCAAATCAGGGTAAGGTACCAAAATCTCTCAACAACCTCATCGGCATGCTAATGTCTCCACCAGACTCATTTGCAGGCTGAACAAATAGTAGAAATCGACCTTAAAGGGGATATAATTGGCCAGAGGGGAGTTGGCCGGCCATAGAAGGTCTAGTTTGCCTGTACGCACGGACATACATGTAGATCTAGACTGGAGAGTATCTGCATGCTGCAAAAGAATTTGACAGATAAGACATGCTCATTCATGCAATTCAATGTAGTTCTCCAAATTTGGCAGATTATCTGAAGGATGGTTTGTTGCGAGTTACAAGAAATGACCTTATGAAGCAAGTTTAAACTATAATTTCCAACACAAAGGATTGGACCTTGTCTGATTGAAAGATTTGACAATGATATTGTGTATATTGTTTTTAAATGTACTTTTCGTACTTTGCAGGTTACAATGCCTTCCGGAGCAAGTGTCAAGGTGGAAGGGCACCCCTGGATGACGATTACGGTACACGCCCCAGGGATAGACTTCGGTCACACCAACGGACTCTGCGGGCTTTTCGACGATAATCCCCACAACGACCTGATGATGCCAGACGGCAGTATCGCCAGTCATCACATCTGGCCGGACTGGCACAGAGACTTCTCTGAGGCTTGGCGGTAAGAGAGTGGGGTCGTGTGGCGTAACGGCAGAGTGTTCGACTCGGAACCAAGAGGGTTCGAGTCCTGACATGCCACCGATCTTGTGCCGTTGGGAAAAGCACTTAACATGACTTTCCCCACTTAACTCATGTGACAATGAGTATGCGTGTTGTACTGTTACAATTCCAATAAATCAAATCAAACCAATTAAAAGATTTAATCTCCAACCATGCAGATGCAAATCTTTCGGTGGCCACAAAGACAGTATCAGATTTGCCAGGCAGTATCCATTTGTCAGATAGTATATCGGGTGGCCAATGGATACATTTTGTGATCCTGTTTTTATGTAATGATATGTGTTCAATGAATGCACAAACCTCGTCAATCGGGTAAACAAATAACTTTGGTCCTTTAATTTTAAAGATATTTAATTGCATGCAGCTGCTTAATACGAGTCGATCTAAGCATGGTCCCTTTTTTCATTCGACTTAAATTCATATCTGCATTTTCGTTGCTTTTAGTATCACGCCAAGAACAAGTCTATTTGATGTAGAGTGTCTTCCGGAAGGACCCAGCAACCCTCTAGCAGAAAGTCAGTACTGTACCTGTGGCCGTGGGGGAGGGAAAAACGTGCAATGCGATTGGACCAAAACGCGGCGAGAAAATGAATTAGCTAACGTGGTCACCGCAGTGGTCCCCAACCAGGCACAGGCAAACAGAGAGTGTGCACGGCGGAGGAGGAAGAGAGAGGTACAAAACATCGAGGACGATCCACTTCTCTACAATGATGAGGTAGAGATGGCAGAGTACGTGTTTAATTACGGTGATGACTCCGAACCTGAAGTCAACGATCAGTGGCCGACTCCTAACCTGGGAATAACGGAGCAACAGGCCAGAGACTTCTGTCAACAATCCATCTGGAACCTCACCATCGCTGTGGTTTGCCAGGACATGTATGGGGTGGACCTCCTGGAAGGAGTGGACTCTTGTATGGAAGACATAAAGGTAAGGAAAGGAATTTTTGACATCGTTTACTTTAAACGTTAGCGTTAGGACTATACAAAATGTTTCTGGTCATTTGATCTATAGCACCAGTCATTTGATTTATAGCAACAGCCATAATGTTGGAAATCTGAGATAATTGCACTCGACAATTTTTTTTTCAATTTAACTTATATATTTCAATTTTAGGTGAAAAGAATTTACATGATGCCCATTTAAAAAGCACAGTAATACATATAGCGCCAATACCAAAATATACGATGTCCTACATGTCGGTTTGTCAGCAATGCTGTGTAATATTGACTCTAAGTTTTGCCTTGTACTAGGCTACGGAGGACTACCAGTTTGCAGACATTGTGGTGCAGCGAGTCCAAGACGAATGTGCTGCGAAGGCCTACAACAACGTCAGCCTGTACGAGACCAACGAGAATGGAACATCTGTACCTCCTGCCTTCATCACTGAGAACCTGTGTCCGCGCCAGTGCAGTAACCAGGGCCGGTGTGTGAACGGCAGTTGCGAGTGTAACGATGGATTTGAATCTGCGGATTGCTCCATACAGGTCGGCAGGCCTCCGGTCGCTGTGCAAATCCCTGCTGACGGTCTGTGTGACGTCAGAATCCGCCCCTGTTTGAAGACGTCATTCTTCGCTGATGGAGTGGTGGATTCAGAGAACCTGACATGCAGAATCACACAAGTTCAGGTGAGCAAGACTCAGTTGGTCGTTTGATGAATACTGTTCCTTGTTTCCTCGAGCCCCTCAGTGCACATGTTAATGTTTATAATGAAAATGGCAATGAGTCCGCAGACCAGAAAACAAAAATTCTAGTCAGGCAATTTCTTATCTGCATAGCAGGTACAGTTACTGTTAGTACTAGCAGAAAACAGGGTAACAGTAGAAACAATGTTGTCCCTTGTTCCATGGTGTAAGCAAGGACATTATACACAGATGTCCTTGGTGTAAGGGAACAAATTAATGTTGTTGAATCTTTGCAATGATAACAACAAACCCACTCCAAAAGACTTTGTATTTGGTATTTTATCTTTTAGATAAAGAATGGTCAGCTGGTACACCAAGAACCCAGCGGCCGATCCGAGGCGAAGTTCCGCAGTTTTGCGGAGGTGTCCTGTGTCCTGCCGAGGTCTCCTGTACGGTACGGCACTCCAGCTACTAACGAGGGCGCAGTGGCTCACGGGATGCTGCTGTCCGTCAGCAACGATGGCGACCGGTTCAGTGAGGAGTTGTTCTTTACCGTGTACGACTCCGTCTGTCAGGAGTGTACTCAGGGAGGGGACTGTACATGGAAGGTACGCCACACTGTACACTGTACAAGGAGATCGAGTATCGTCATTTTCATTCATTTCATCAGGGAGCTTCAAATTTGAAGCTCCTTGATTCCATGGCATGTGGAAATGGTTTGTATTTACTATTTGTTTCTTTCTTCCCTCAGCCGGACACTTGCATTATCAGAGGACACTGCTTCAGAAATGGAGACCCAAACCCGGACAACTGGTGTCAACAATGTCTGCCAAACCTTTCCAACACCACGTGGTCTGATCGTCCAGGTAAGAAAAAAAACCTTCATGATGCCCTTACCACCACAGCTCTAATATTTTAAGTTACATGTATGACTCTACTTTATTAAAAATCTACAGAAGCAAACTGATTTTGTATGTACTTTGTTCTGTTCAGTCAACAGCCCTCCCAGGTTCACAATGACCTCCAACACTATAACCAAACTTCCTGATGAAAGTCTGACCATCACTTTGGGTGCCGAGGATCCCGAGGGCAGACCTGTGACGTTCCAAACAGCGCCGCCTAGCAGCCCAACCCTGACCGTGCAGCCAAACGGGGAGCTGACTTGGACGGGAGATCAACCCCTCTCCATCAACGTCACCATTACTGACGAGTGCGGGGCGTCCTCCGAACAGACGTTCCACCTCACCATCATGGCGTGTCCTTGTGAGAACGGAGGGTCCTGTGTGCCCGACATGCCCCGCGGACAAGGCTCCTACACCTGCGTGTGTCCTGGGTACACCGGGGACGTGTGTGAAACTGAGCTGGACGAATGTCAGTCCAACCCGTGTGTGAACGGGACCTGTATCGACCTCGTGAACGGATACAACTGTACCTGCGCGGAGGGATACGTCGGCAGTCGGTGTGACGTGGCCGTTGAGAACAGGTGTGCCCTGGACCCGTGCTTTCCCGACGTCTCCTGCGTCAACTTGGAGGACGGGGGCTACTCGTGCGGACGGTGTCCTTCGGGATACGTCGGGAACGGGTACGAATGTGAAGGTGAGCCTAAATCATATGATATTTATTCCTTGACTATTCTTGTGTAAGTCTTCTTTATCATGTCACTATCTTCTCAAATCTAGAAATCTCAGTTATTCTAAAAGAAAGTTTTTCTGTGAATAACAATTTTGTATTTCACAGACATCAACGAATGTGAAACCGACACACACGGCTGTCTACATATCTGCAGGAACCTGCCTGGGTCCTACAAATGTGCCTGTACTGCCGGATTCATCTTGATCGCTGATAACTGTCTAGGTATGAAAAAAAAATCTGATATTCGTATTTTTTTCTTATCTGAAAGGTGGAAACGTTGCAAGCTTTTTTGTTCATGTACTTCCAGATGGACCGTGTTTAGTTTTCTAGGTAATCATGATCAGTGTACGTTCCCTCTGTTTTTTTTTGTTGTTGTTGATTAAGCCCTCCTGGATTGTGTCAAATTGTAAGTAAGATATACTTTCGTTGCGTGCTTTCTCTTGCACTTAGCAATTTGGCCAGAAAAAGTAAAAGACACTTTTTTTTCTTTTCATACAGATTTGGACGAGTGTGATTTAGAGATCCACGAGTGTTCTCACGACTGTACCAACACGGACGGGTCGTACACCTGTGAATGTCCGGATGGGTTCGAACTCAATGTGGACGGAAGGACCTGTGACGGTAGGATTTTTGACACTGTTCCTTGTGGCAACTTCATCCACAATACGTGTGTTCCTTCCAGCTACTAGATACTGTTCCTGTGCAATGTATGGTTTCCCATTGCTCACAAAATGAATATCCACGGTGCTTTCCTACGATGATCAGTTTGGATCAGTCTTGTTGGTCTCCTTTTTTCACAAATATCGCTATCACTTGAGCGAACCTGACTGTATTATGACATCGTTATAATCTTTCAGACGTGAACGAGTGCGCCAGCTCCCCCTGTCAGAATGGAGGCGAATGTCAGGATGAAGTCAACCAGTACACCTGTTCGTGTGCCCGCGGTTGGTTTGGACCACACTGTGAAGAAGGTATTTTTGTGTCACGAAATATTTCAATTCCTTGCTTTTAACACTTCAACGGCTCAGTGAATCATAATGTATCGTGTATCGCTAACTTCTTTAAACTCATTTTGTTTCAGACATAGACGAATGTTTAGTGACGAATCACGGCTGTGAGCACGAGTGTGTGAACACCCCGGGCAGTTACGGCTGTTCCTGTCCCACAGGATACGTCCTAGGGGACGATGGAAAATACTGCGAAGGTCAGTAGAACCAATGTCCTTGGTAGTCGTTCCTTTCTTGTAACTTAAGTTTTATGTTAATCTATACGTTTTCTGAGGTCATCTGACCTTGAGGTCATCTGACCATGTTTTTAATAATTATAATAACCTTCATTGTACATTCATGCCCTATCGGGCTAAGTACAGGTAAACAAATGAAAGGGTAATATACATGTTTGTAGTACAAATAGTTCTAAAACTACACCAATACGAAGGTTCGGCTTCTTCTCGTTTCTTAGTGATGTTAAAAAATATAATTTGAAATGGGTTTATTTAGCACAGGATGATCAAAGCGCATAAAAAAGATAAATTGTTCAATATTAGTCAAGTATTGGAAGTACTGGAACGTACTTGTAATATGTCTAAAAATATCATTTCTATCATTACTATATAAACTACAATCAACGATAAATTGGATTGCACGTGGTGATGAGTGTATTTTAGTGTATATGGCTGGTTGTACAGGTTTCTGTATAGAAATTAGAAGTATAGAAATAGTATTTTATTACCTAAATTTACATACACAAGATATTGTGGATTTTATATAAAGGTTTGACGTTTTTTTTTCGAACTTCCCATTGCAGCGGTCCAATGTCCGGCTCGGGCGGCCCCAGCTAACGGAGCGGTGAGTCCTACCGGAGCTGTCTCCTACCCGAACGCGGTCACCTTCACCTGTAACACGGGATACACACTGAGCGGTGTTGCTACTCCGACGTGCCAAGCTGACACAACATGGAGTAATCCTGTTCCAACATGCCAAGGTAAGACCACCTGCAAATCAATATTATGCTACCACGTTCAGTAGTTGGTCGGCACTGCCGTTGGTACATGCTAGGTTGAACAGGTCCGGAAGTGTCCCAACTTTATCAGCCTATTTTGTGTGGGATGGCTGCATGGTCTCACTTGAAAGTAGTCCAATCCCCAAATTGCACAGGCATGTAATATTCATGAGCTGTAAATAATGAAAAAAGACAAATAGCTTTCTTTCCTAAATGGAGTGACCAACTGTTTACTACAATGGCTCTATTACATGGTAGGCTATATGTCAAGTACATGTATGTTCTTTAGATGCAAATACCTAAACGTAGATATAGTCTACTCTCCAAAACAGAGGTTTGGGTTTGAGGTTATTTGAAAGTCTGTGAAGGCTTCATCTCGTCGTGGATTTTGTCTGACATCTCGTCTCAAATAGACCCGAAACAGTTTGGCAACTCTAAAGGATGTTCGACAACACATTGTCTCATCGACTTGTTAAGAGCAAATGTCTGTAAGGATCAAACAATGGTGGCAGGGGTCAAAAAATCGATTTGGCTCAAATTTTGCACAGTGGTAGTACTTGGCCCACAACCCCTCAAAATAGCTTTCTTTCTGCTCCACACCGATCGTTGACATGGTAACGGGCCAAACATGTTTTGGGGCCATTTTCCCTGATTTGGGCATGTCAAAAACATGAAAATTACCAAAGTTTAGGACGCGATTACAAACAAATGCTTGAATATATCGGAAAGACAAAAACTGTGCTGAAATGACCAACTTATCTGCTTTTCTAAAATAGCTTTAAACTTTTCCAGAGGTCCGTTTAAAGGGCCTGAGCATCCCTAAGACAATACAGTGTTTTTTGGCTTGTGAAATATCCCTATTTCTGCCCATTTTTGAAGCGCTGTAACTCCAAAGATGGTGATTTTTTTTCTTTCATATTGAAATCACAGATACATAATCATATGTGCTATAAAATGCATGTTTGCAAAGTTTGGCCAATTGTTTCGTTCTCACGTGGTTGTCCTCTGAAAGTAGGTCATATTTTACATTTCAAGAAAAATACCAAATTTTGTCCTATTTTAAGATGCAATTTATACAATATGAAAGCAGAAATCTAATAATGCTTTTGCACAATATGTAACCCTGATGATTGTCTATCAAATGCATTCTTGTGGAGTTTGGAGTCTTGTTTTGTTGCTGTGTACTTGTCCCTGAAAGTAGGCCATATTTTCGACATGTGGTAAAATTAACATTTTCGGCTGTCTTCCAGGCCCTATAACTGACAAAGTGGAGTATTATTGGAACTCAATATTTGTAGGGTATTACATACATGTATTGGGTATGGAATGAATTCTTGTTGAGGTTGGAGTCTTGTTTTGTTGCTGTGTACCTGTCTCTGAAAGTAGGCCATATATTGGACATGTGCTAAAATTAAGATTTTGGTCAATCTTTGAAGCTCTATAACTGACAAAGCAGGATGTTGTTTTCCTTCAATCTTTGTAGGGTAGTAGATACATGTATTGTGTATCAAATGAATGCTTGTCGAGGTTGGCGTTTTGTTTCGATGCTTTGTACTTGTCCCTGAAAGTAGGCCATATTTTGGACATGTGCTGAAATTATCGTTTTTGGCTAACTTTAAAGCTCTATAACTGGCAAAGTAGGATTTTATTTCAATTCAATCTTTGTAGGGTAGTACATACATGTATTGTGTATCAAATGCATGCTTGTGGAGGTTGGAGTCTTGTTTTGTTGCTGTGTACTTGTCCCTGAAAGTAGGTCATTTTTGGACATTACAGAAATTAGCATAATATACGGCTGTGTTTGAAGCTATAGAAATGACGATGTAGGATTTTATTTCAATTCAATCTTTTAAGGGAAGTACATATATGCATTTTGTATCATATATATAGTTCTGTGTCGTTTGAACATTTGAAAAAAAAATCTCTTTGATTCAAAATTTGAAAAACCAAATCATGTGTCTTCGGTGTTTTATTATTTTCAACACAATTCTCCCTAGTGTGGTTGCTCACATTCTTGAATCTTTATAAAATGTCAAAGTGATTAAAACAATGATTTGTTTTTGAATAAAAGGGATTTTTTCAAATGTTCAAACGACACAGAACTATATAATTATATAATATATAGAAACGTGAGCAATATTTCCTAATTTCGGGGACAGCTAAAAGGAAACAATAGAATATGTCCTAATTAGGGCTTACTTTTGGGGACAAGTACAGAGCAACTACGCAAGAACCCACCTTCCGTAGGCCTTCATTTCATACACAATAGATAAAGTTACTTCTGCTAGAAAATTGAATTCAAATAACATCCTACCTTGGCGTTTATAGGGCTAGGGCTTCAAGCGCAGACCGGTATGTGCTTAAATATGGCCTACTTTTTGAGGCAAGTGCACAATAATGACACAAGACCCAAACCTCCATAAGTTCATTTGATACAAAATGCATATATGTACTTCCCTTAAAAGATTGAATTGAAATAAAATCCTACATCGTCATTTCTATAGCTTCAAACACAGCCGTATATTATGCTAATTTCTGTAATGTCCAAAAATGACCTACTTTCAGGGACAAGTACACAGCAACAAAACAAGACTCCAACCTCCACAAGCATGCATTTGATACACAATACATGTATGTACTACCCTACAAAGATTGAATTGAAATAAAATCCTACTTTGCCAGTTATAGAGCTTTAAAGTTAGCCAAAAACGATAATTTCAGCACATGTCCAAAATATGGCCTACTTTCAGGGACAAGTACACAGCATCG